TGTGCCAACTTCAAAAATCTGAGTAATCAAATCCCAAGGGAAAAGAAACAAGAGTTGTAATACCTACTCCAGAGACGCTCAACCCTCAGTCCTCAGCATTCAGGCACATGTACAGCCAAAAGGACCTTGGGAGGCTTATCTGATTCAACCATCCGCTTTAAGGAAGATTATATCTAAAACTCCAAAGCACTGAAAACTCTCCCAGAGAATGACGGTATACAACCTGCTTTGGTGAGTGGCTCCAATGTCATTACCTTTAGCGCACTGGCTCTTTGTTGGACTAGCTGCGTGTCCGGGAGGAGTGGTGAGGGAGGGAGGGCTTGGCCATCTCCCAATAGCAGAGATTCTTCTACATTCTAAGTGGGTAGAGAGATAGACTCTTGGGGAGAGGAATGCAGGAAGTTGGGAAAGGAAGCTTCTACAAACTCCCTGAATGGACCAAATATATTTTTTAAAGCTTCACCTTTATTAATTATCTTGTTATCTTTTTTCATGATGATATCTTTCATTGAAAAAATTCAAATACAGGGAAACATTACTGATTACTAAAAGAAATACCCATAGATATCCTTCACTTAGATTTGCCATTTAACATTTTTCCATATCGGTTTTATTTTTTTCTCTTTTACACACACACACACACACACACTCACTCCCTAAAAAGAAAAATAAAGTAGTATCTCTATCATCTGTCTGTCTATCATGTACCATTAGTTTTTTGAATAATTGTGACAAACTGTTCAAAATTTTCAAACCAAGTGTCATTGCTCCTTCCCCTTCATGATCCTGTTGAGAATCTCTTCAGAATCAAGAAGTTTGTTCTTATGTCTGGCTCTCTCACACTTTAAAATAAGCTATATATTTTTATCCCCTCAGTATAAAAAAGAAGACCACCGTCACTACCATAAACATCTTGGCTGCCTCTTGACCTTCACCAGAGAAGACAGGGAAGTATTGAACAGGTAAAATGACTTACCCGGTCCTGGCCAAACTGGACAATAGCCAGGATTCAAATACTTCCACCAAGCAGGTCAGCTGGAGTTGTTCAGTGATACTGATTCTTGTTCTGTCTTCTATTCAGCAAAGTTTACATGAAGAACTTCACAGGCAGGATACTTGCCTACCTGCTCAGCTCTGAATCCTTCTGTCTCTTCTTTGCCACATGACTCACTCTTTCTTTCCCTTTCTTTCTTCTTTCTTTCTTTCTTTCTTTCTTTCTTTCTTTCTTTCTTTCTTTCTTTCTCTCTCTTTCTTGCTTTCTTGCTTTTCTTCCTTCCTTCCTTCTTTCTTTCTTTCTTTCTGTGGAGGTACTGGGAATTGAACCCAGGACCTTGTGCATGCTAAGCATGCAGTCTACCACTGAGCTACACCTTCCCTACTAAACAAAAAATTTTATTTGTGATGCATGTTATATTAGGGGAAGCACAGTTTTCAGGGGACCCTAATGCAGGGGGAGTTGAACCTAGCTGAACCCTAGTGGGAGGGGAAGGTCGCCCTGGGGAAAAGATGTTTAGGTTGAGACCTGTAAAAAGAGTAGGAGTTATCTAGGAAGTGTAAGTTGGGGATGGGAGTCAGAGTGAGGACTGGGGAAGGAAGAACATTCCCATGAGAGGAAACAGCTTGCGCACAGCCCTCAGGGCAAGAAAGCGCCAGGCACAGTTAAGGAACAAAAACAGCGAGGCAGATGAAGCTGTCTGTGCCAACAGTCACAGGGCATATGGCACCTTGCTACTTACTCCAGGCATGTTGGATAACAGGCGCATGTGCAGTAGATCCGTTCCTGTCTCCTGTTCTAAGAGGAAGGAGCCTTTAACGTACCCCTCTCATGAGCCTGGGCGCTTCCCCTAGAAAGTTGGCTTTATTGTCAACTGTTTGGCAGGGCAGTGGCAGATGGTGTCTTGTGAAGCAGTGCTTTCTGCCATATTCCAAGTGAGAAACGGAGGCTCAGAGAGGATAATTTACCAACGGTCACCCAGCTTGTAAGAGGCAGCTAGAAT